GACAGCAGACAATGGCACTGCTATCTTGGAGATATTTAACACAAACCATCAGTAATATGACACAAAACAGAGGGAACTGCAGACATCTCACATGGTTACAGGTAGAGGCCAGTCTCTCAGCAGGGTCTGTAGAGACTCCATCTCTACCTACAATGTGACCAAGAAACTCCACATTTGTGTGCATTTCTAAGCAACCAAACAGCAAAATATTTTCAATATACACCACACATCTCTCCCACTGCATAACTTTCAGTGTAAGCTTCATTAGCTGCTCCAAAGAGGTGGGCACATTACATAGGCCAAACAGCCTAAAGCATAGCTCACAGAAGTCATCTTTTTTAATAAAAAGTTTTAGGTTTGCTCTAGTAGCCATCAAGCTCAACTTGCCAGTGATGATGGCACATCTAAAGAGTTGAACCTATGGGAACCATCTAATGCATCTAAACATTCATCTGCTAGAAGTTAAAGACATCAATGTGAGTTACAGCATTCATTTCCTTAAATAAACGTAGAACCTTTGTGTTCCTTCCTTCTTCCTGACAGTCACTATTGGAGATGACCAAGTATTCTCCAAAGGCTGTATGTCTCCATCCTTCAACATTCACTGTATTTAATCACTGGCTATGTCACTAGTGCTCCAGAGAAGCTGGCATGGTGGATGCTTTATCAGACTTGGAGCATAGATAGCCCATTGTGTAGCTTTGCACAAACAATACCCACATGTTATCTGACTTGGACATGCATCACTCGTAGGTATGTTGTGGCAAGTCACCACATTTCCACTTAAATGGCCATATTGTTATAACCAGAACATTGCCATATTCAACCAACAAGTCACCGGGTTGCTTTCATTGCATCGGGTCTAGATTGTTTGCAATATTCTTATTCATTGACCTCAGATGCATTAGTAGCCTCATACTTGCTTTTAGTACAATGGACACAACCCTAGCATTATCACTTCCATCAGTTACTTCCACTTCCCTTAACACAACTTGTAAACATTATAACATAACCTGGATAGCTGATTGCTCATGATTGCAATACAACACTGGGACAAGCTTATGCTGCCTGCTTCCTGGACAGGAAATCATTCATATAATGCATGGCTTCTATAAATGCATTAAATAGTACCAACACACTTGACTTCATCCATAGTACACTAATTGTTTATATGATGTTTATACAATCCACTATATAGACTCATGCAGTCCACTGTTCCTGAGCTTGATCTGGATGACATTGGATAAATCTCCCAAGGAACATGTTTATCCATAGCACAGACAAAACCAGTGGATATTTTAGTAGTATATCCTTCCCAAAGATGCCATCACCACATCCTCAGAATAAACAAAAAAGAAAAAATAACATAAGATAAAAAATGCCTGGTATAGGTTAATACCACAAATAAACCTTTTTTACATGAATTCACTCCTTTTATCACTAATCAATAAATGTTAACTTAACAAATTATCCCCACAGTTCTCATAGTCTAGGTCAAAGGTTCCCATATTGTAGCATGCATACTCCTTTCAGGTGGTCTGGGGAAATATTTTATAATCACATAAAGAAAGTTTGTAGATTCTAGAGCAAACACAAAACTTGATAGTTTACAAATTCAGTGGAAAAGTATAAAATTTAAGTTATATGACTTTTGAGTTAAAGTGGAAAAATGTATTCATCAACTCAGAATTTTTAGGCACTGCAAAATAATGACCTGTTTTCTCAATGAAAGAATAGTGCTTGTTGGACCTTTCTCACAATTGAATATCAAGGTTAGAGTTTAAAAGAAATCCACTATTAGTTTTGGAGTCAGAGAACTGATGAGTGTACACAACTTGTAGACGAAGCAGTTTGTTTTCTGATGGCATTTGCTACTATATACCTGTGCCAGACTGGATTTTCCTCGTCTGATAACCAAATACAGAAGCAGGATGAAAGCTGAAAATGATGAACAATACATTTGTGGTATTTTCAAATTAACTGGTTTCTGCACAAGTACCAGATGGGTCCATTGTATAATAGGAGTATTCATCAGTAAAATGGTGAAGTAACTCTGAATTTAGCTAAACAAATGAGGTTTTAGTTAAGAAATAAACAAGTTGGACATGTGATATAAAGTGAAACACAATTCAAAGTCAAGAAACATAGCGTACATACTTATGTGAACAACAGGCAGTCATTTTCCTACTGGATCAGATAATTAATTAACAGTTATTATCTTGCAAGATATCCAATGATCAACTCACATTCTGAATCAAGTAGGGTTAGATGTAGATCTATTCTGACTGAAACTATGCTCTGTACTTAAAAAGTAACTTAGGGTTTTGCCCAAAAGCAACACATATTATTATGTTACTGGCAGTTTTCAGACATCAAAGACTGTAGATATTATCTACTTTGTCAGTGAAGAACAATTCTGTCAGTAGTATCAATTTCCACATAGGCAAAATAGATACTACTTGCTAGAAAACAAAAAGCAAGAAATATAACTAGAATTAAACAACTTCAACAGTTTTCTGGAAGACGTTTATGTCAAAACTGCATAGAAATAGCTCCAATTAAAAAGTGTTAACATTTCTATATTAATAAGAGCAGATAGGAAACAAGATATGCCTGCATATCACATACCTAACATTATAATTCTTTGCATGCAAAAACAGATGCATCCATCACATTAAAGTGTACTATTATACTAATTGTTATGCACTTATTATTTGTTAAATTATACTATCATTATGTGGTTTGCCAAACACCCCCCTCCCCTCCCTTACTATCAACAAATAAATTCAAGTGGTTTGGAACAAAAATTTGAGACCCACTACAATAGTTAAGTTACCCTAAATCAACAAAGAAATATGTTGTGAACAATAATTTCTAATTCAAAAACATAAAGACACATGCTATATTATACATTTAAACACTTTCTACTTTATACAACAAAAATAAGATATAAAACTGGTACCATCAAAATCAGTATTCATGCTCTTACAATATTCTATTTGAAAGTCAATTTCTGCTTGGAAATATACATATGAATGCATGATTTGCAACTGTATGTAGCAACAGGAACAAATATACCTAAACTATATTTTTTCACAATCCCAATGAACATTTTACAGAATTTCTCATGTGTTTGAAAATTCTTAATAAGCAGGAAGATCAGAGGTTGAGATCTTAGAAAACGCAAAAAGAAACAACACTTACAAAATTCCATAAATGTTATGCCAGTCTAATAAATAAGTTTCAATATAAACTACAAATAAAACTTGTATTTATTTATTTCCATTTCTAATCCATCAGATACATAAGTTACAAAGTTCCATAAAAATAAGGTTACAATTAATAACTATTTGAGATAAATATTAAAACTGTCCAGTGAATATTCCTGATTTAACAAGAAACTTCCAGATTAACTTGAAACAATAAGAAGAACAAACATCCAAGTTTGACATTATCTGTAAATTATAACAAATATATGAAATGAAAAATAACAAATGCCTGATAATGATACTAAATCTGGTAGTTTTACTGAAGAACTCTTTTAAAACTTTCTTCTATATCATTATTAGGTCTAATGATTTGCTCTAAACTTTCCTAAATGACATGGGTGATTTTGAATGTGCCTAAGGAGGAATTTAGTACTCTCCTGGAACATGTAGCTTTTAAGATATAATAATTTATTTTTTATCCATGTCATGTGATGACTTATAAAAACAAATTCTCCAATATTTGGAATTGTTAGTCAGAATATTCAAGCTATTCTTCATGTGTTTTAACCTGTCAAAATACACTAAATCACCAAAATGATGTTATTAATCCAACTACTGATATTCACAAGATAGCTTGTATTAAGGTGTTTGAAAAAATAAATATGTATAAAATACTGACAAGCATGTATTTTTATCACCATTCAACAAGATATAACATTAAACATTAACTCGGATTGTGCTGTAAATTGTTTTTTAACACCTATTGAGTTTCTTACATTTTTATGTTTTGGAATTTCAAACAATTGATTTAGTATTACTATAAAACATAAACAATAATATTGCAGAAATTTTTGTTTATTTGTTCAGTCAAAGCTATTACCAACAAGGGGTATCAAAACAGTTTTAGCATAAAAAGCTGCTGAGCTACTGGATCAAATTAGAAATATATGCTAGTCAAAAACTGAAATATTCTCATGAAGTTTTTGCATTCTTTTGAGGTAACTGACCATTACATAGGTAAATGTTAAATGATGGAAAATAAGAAGCATTAAAATTTTCTTAACTGTTCACCACTTCAGTAAGCTTTTGCCAGTGGATTTAAAACTAGAATAACATCTTGACAGAATCATACAAGAGCCAATGACAGATTTATCTGCTTGATCTATTCTTAAACAAGATATTTATATTTCTGAACTTGTCAGGTTGTGTGTGTGCCCACATTGATCACAAATTGAGATATAACTATTTTATGACATTATCTATAAATACTCATTACAAATGTTAATGATTTATATGTTTTGTTAAAAAAAAATATAACTTTCTTATGTAAAAAAGCCAGTGAACAGTTAAAAGTCATCATGAAACAGAAAAATCAACTGTTGAAGAGACCACTTTTTTTTTTGCAGTGAAATGTAGTATCTCAAGATGCACAATTTAAAGATTCCAAGATTATTAAGATAGTATTGTAGTCAAATTATAATTGTAACATGTTCATAATTCATCTTGGTAAACCATTTCCTCTGCACCGGGAAAAGTTCTTACAAATAAGAATGTGATTCTTTAATGAGTCGTTTCTTGTAAAACCTTTTCCACATGAACTACACTCATATTTTCTTGCATCAGGAAAATGTACATTCAAGTGTCGATGCATGTTGCTTTTTTTGCTGAAAAATTGACAACAAACAGGACACTGAGTTGAATGAAGTCCTGGTCTTTCCTGTTTCTTTTTTTGAACTACTGTGGAAAGAAATATTAACCTTTATGAAATAACTATTCAAAACATTGAATGGCACATTTTTTATATTCAGTCAGAAAACTAAGTAAATAAGAGACAAAGAGCACAGGTAACTTCCTATAACTAAATTAGCCTCTCATTGAAGCTGTTTTACCTTATAACCCAGTTTGTTCACACTGAGTATATACAATGTTTTTGTAACTTTAAATAGAAAATAATTATGCAATCGAAGTTTGTATACATACTCGTGACTAAATAATATTACAATCTAAATAGACACCATAAGTTACTATATTTAGTCTCTCCAGTCAAAACCATAAATTAAAAAATAACACTTTTGTGTAAACATTCAGCTGTTTATAATAAAAATAAGCATTGATACATGATTTCCCAGTGAACTTAATTATAAAATAATAAACAATTAAAATAAGAATAACTTGTTATCAAGCACCACCACAATTTTTAAAACTTTCGGACATCTGCTAACTTGAAGGCTAATTCTGGTAATTTAATGTTTGTACCAGATAAATCCTATTCAGAAAATATCAAAAAGAAGGTTGTTCCTAAAAAGTTAATAACATACATGTGTTCAAGGCTGAGCACTGGACATTTTCTCACAAATTTTCGACTACTTTTATTTGACTATGGGGAAAGTAGCTAGCCCACTTTTTTGGTGGTGGGGGGGGGGGCAGTAATGGGACAGGAACCATGGAACCTCAGATTCACAGTCCAGTTTGCTTATCACTAGGCCATGCTTGGCTCAAAATGAGTGAAAATCTAAGATATAATCATACAAACATCCACCACAGTAAAAAGTTGCACAGAAACAAGAGAAACTAGTTTGATATATGCTTATACACACACACTTCACCTACTAAATAAGCTATTGACAGAGACTTTGAATCCATACAAGAAAAAATATCAATGATCCTTTTTATTAATTATTGTTTAGCCTTATGTTGCTACCTTTACTCTGATATCATTATTAATTTCATAATAGGATAAATAATGTATTACATCATGTTTCTTGTTGAATACATTTTGTAACACTCAGAGCACCAGTACCACATAATGACAAAATTTGATTTATATTTGATCTCTCTACTCATTTTATCAAAACACTATCTAACAAACAAAAACATCTTATAACAAACTGGATTAGAGTTAAATTTTATAACTGTTTCTACATTACTTGTACTTTCAAATATACAAATCACAAAATCCAAAACTTTGAACAATTTTTATTATTGCTCCATGTGTTTTTCAACTTAGCCATATAATTTTAGAACGGAAAGAACAACGAGAGCAAAAAAACTGAATAGTAAAATCTGATTTTATTCAAATTGCAAAATTATATTTTTACAGCTTTTGCTAATGGCTCCAACCACTCCATATTGTAAAAGAAAAATCATAGAAGTCAATGCTATATACTATGAATAACTTTCAAGTGACAGAGAAGGTATTCTTTCCACCCGAGTGACTTCAAACACATAAAAAGACGTATGCTGTATATAACATCCTACATGACTGTTTACATGTTGCTAACAATTTCTTAGATACATGACACTTCCAAGAAGTACCTGTAACAAAAATGAACATACTACACAACATAATATCTATCACCTGAAACTATCATTATTACTAGAAAAATAATCAGAGCATGTTGTATTACAATTTTTTTTATAGATTAAAAGCTTAATACTTTGTGTTTTGTTTTTAAAGGCTCATAATGAATAATAATAGAGAACATTTACTACTTATGAATATAAAAAGAACTACTACTTAAATAAAATGTTTTAGATGAAAATTATTTTATTAGAGTACTCTTTCTCTACAAAAAGTGAATTAAAATAATAAACTACTCAAATGCAGCATTATATTTCACTTGCAAGTAAGCAATTGATACTTTTATGAATTATTATTTACTGTTTAGTAAATTTAGAGTTTTTTGGGTTATAATTTTGATGGGAATTTAGAACATTTGAGAATAAATTTTCACTGTACATATGAATACAAGATACTATACAAAAACCTCATATATATATATATAAAACCTTGAATTGAAATCATGCAGCAGAACACAAATAAGAGAAACTATACCAGATGCAAAAAAATGTAAAGGATACAATTCCACAAAGATAAGTGTGGATATCACCCAAAAGGCAATTGGGATATCCTGCCTCTCCAAATATCACGCAAACAAGAAACTAGTGAAGGAAAAAAACAACAGCTAAATAAATAATAAAGCCCAGGTACTTAAGTCAACAATGCCTAAGCTTTTGACCGCCATTCACCACCCATGGCTGATTGCGAGTATGGGAATAATACCTCAAAATCAAGCACTAATTAATTCTTATACAGAGAATATTTGAATGCAACAAATTCATAAAGTGACCACTAGTGCCAAATATTTGATATATTTTAAAGAGATATAATTATATTTCAAAAATTTTATAGAAATAGTACTATATCACCCTCCTTTATGGTATGATGAAATGCACAGTTGTTGAACAGAAGGTTCAATTATTGGTATACTTTTAACCTGTATTTTATATCTACCTTTATTTATTTGACAGAAGTAAATCTAGTATTATTATGCAAGTTTTTACTTCTATATTCTCAATCACTTTGTCTGAAGAGTAACCAGAGAAGTTACAATATTGGTTAAAATAAAATTAAGCTTTGTATGTCTAAGTTACAGAAATAATGAGAACACATTAATGAGTGAAATTAAGTTCATCATGACTTAAGTCTATATATAAATATCTGTTAATGATTAGCATAAAGAACAAGAACAACAAATCAAAATAGAATATGACAATCAATCCACTCTTCATGCAAATAATTGTTTTTCTGAGTTGAAAGTAACAAGTCTATAGTACAAACATATTTTCCTAAGATTAATAAAAAGTGATCATGCTTTGAATAATTAAATTATCATGCACTACTTTCAGTGCTGAAACTGTTACATTGCAATGACAGTTAAAATAATCTACTGTTAGAAATGTAAATTGAACATATTGGTTACTTCCTTGCAAGAGATAACATTTACATTTTTCAGTATTATAAGACAATCATACAATGTATTATATACAATAAATGTCTGGTGTGCACTGGTTTTAATGCTACAAAAATCTAGTTAATTGTTGTTCCAGTGCCTGGGCAGCACGTGATACCGTACCCCAAATAACTGGGTGTGACACAGCAATAGTCCTGCTTGATTATAAAATAATTTTCTGTGAGCATTTAAATAAACATTAAGTTCAATATATTTAAAAAATTATGTTTTGTTCATTTCTAAAAATTTACACTTAACAGCAACAATGTACAAGTAAATTTAGGAAATACTACTGGTGAGGATAGTATTTGTTTTTCACTAAATCTACAGTTCTTTACTGATACAGTCATCTTATGTTGAGAAGAACATTCACTTCTTGTGATGTGACTTTGCTCACTGGTGATTTTTACTGTTCCAACTGTAGTTTATTTGACACCAGTAAAGCTGCTTATGAAAGCCTGCTAAATGATCATTTCAACATTTATCATAATGAAAGCTATACAGACAGGAGAAGGGTTGACCTTTTGGTAGCCCCATGCAGAAACTTGGATTGCGGCACCTACACTTTACTAGACAACCAAACTGAATACTACCTGCTTAACCTTATGTGAAATCTGTTTCTTTAAAACAAAAAAGGTGTTTAAAATATTGTGGAAATTTCCCTGTTATTCAAGGCTTGCTTAAGAGGCATGGGAAGTACCTTCTTTCCTCTATTCTAAAACACAAAGGTTTCAAACATGGGTTTTTCATAAAAAAAGGAGTGTTTGCAAAGTGTTTTATTAGCCCTATCTATCAATTTGCTTTGAGCATCAAGCTTCATTATAAAGCCACCCACAAAAGTGGATGTTTTAAATTATTTTATGAAATCACTAATTGTACCTTTTTGAACATTTCCTTCACAATTTAATGGATGACATAAAATCTATAAAAAAAAAGGTTAAAGGACGTGGAGACTAAATAGCTATGACATAGATTCATATGATGATGTGCCGAGATCCTTTTAAACAAAATCTTGTTTTATCATGTATCAAAAAATGTGAATGTTAATGAAAACGTACTTACATAACTGTTTCATTACATTCAATAATTATGTATATCATGATTATAGGTACTAGTAATAAATAAAGATAATTATCATTTTGCCATCATAGAATGAAAGTGTTAACACACTGAAATTATGAAATTACTGAAAAAAGATGAGCTGGCTACAAAACAACTTGGAATAACAAAATATGCATGTGTAACACTTAGATTTCAACAATCTAGTCATTCTTATAATGTTACAATTTTTTAAAGTTCATTTTTCACTTGATAAAAGGCATCTAAATGAATAAGCCATATAGCATAATGAGGGCTAGTAGGACCACCCAAAACTGATATTAAAATTTGATTGTGGAAATGATACAAAACAAAAGTACTTATGATAAGGTTTGTTTTGTATTGAATTTCGCACAAAGCTACAGTGAAAGACTAAAGGGAAGGAAGCTAATCATCACCACCCACCACCAACTTTTGGGAAACTCTTTTACCAATGAATATTGGTAATGACCATCACATTATAATGCCCCCTCAGCTGAAAGGGCTAGCATGTTTGGTGGGATGGGGAATCGAACCAGCAACCCTCAGATTGCAAGTCAAGCACCTTAACCACCTGGCCATGCCGGGCCTGTAACAATAAGGATTTCTTTTTGAAACAATATATTAAGTGTGGATGAAGATATAGATTGATGTATTAATAAATATTAGTTATATATCAGGAATCTTAGATAACTAGCACTACAATCATAAACAGGCTCACTTGTAATGCATTTATAAGATACTGCATTAAGGTAAAATGTCAGGTGGTCTGATGGGTTCTGATATTGTTATTAGATAAATGGAAAACTTCATCATTTTGTAGTAAAGCACACATTGGAACTAATAAACCCTTCACTGGATAGAATACAGTGGAAGTTTTGATTGTACTTCAAATATGTTTATCCTGTTACTGAATATGACTTCTGTGGTCTCTCTGCTAACTTTTACAATTGGTTTTACTATATTAAGCAATAATTGGTCTGCATCATTGGTAAGGTAATAAAACATATTTTCTTTTGCACTAAAATGCTGAAGATAATTATATAATTTGCTTTATTAATAGAATTAAAAGATTCACTTACACATGATTTTCATGTTGGTAAATTGCTTGTCAAAGAAGCATCTATTCTGAAAATATGTTTGACATCATATACATATTTGCATTCTTTCATAACATATTCACTTTCTTTGAAAACATCACTGTCTTCAAATAAAGGAAAAAACATCATTAGCAATAAAATGTATATCATTTTCATCATGTACTTCTTCATTACAGTATTCTCATTTTAATTTGGCTATGTCATTTTATTCTACTGTTTGTTGCACTAATAGTACTTTCCTATACAATTTGGGCAGCTTTTCCCCATCTCTCTAATTCAATTTAGCAAGAAATTGATAATCTATCGTATCCCCATACACAATGAGAACAAGCTAAGCATTTCGAACGTGTATGATCTAGTTCAAAACTTTGTAGTTTGTACGCTACACTACAGTATATCAAGTTTATTAATGCATTTTCCACTATTTTTTCCACAACATTAAATGTATCAAATGTACATCTAAACCTAATACATTTACATTTGTTTTGAAACTGGAATACAACTTGTAAATTAACTTTAACAGGACTTGTTAAAATTTAAATTTTAAGACTTTGCTTCAGACTTCCACTAGTCACATTGTTATCTAATTACAATCGAGAAATTACGTTTATGTACATTTGTCTTACTTCATCAGGTTTAACATAATACATATTCAGGTACACTGCATCAGAAACTCTTAAAATTAAAACTAATATAAATTTATACTTACTTTTCGCAACTAATGAATTTACTTCCGTGTACCACATTCACGTTCGATAAATTACAAATTAACCACGTGGTGCACATGACGTCACAGTTATGAATCAATGTTTTCCATTTTTAAAACAGAATCGAATTTTTTTGATTTTGCTATAATAACAATCATATGAACAAACACGTATACTAAAATGTCATCCAACATAAAAAATTCTCCTTTTTCAGGTTTTGGTGTGGTTATTTTAGAGCAAAGCCACTTTGAGTTATCTGCTTTGTCCACCGAGAGGAATCGAACCCTGAATTTTAGCATTGTGATGCCATGGACTTACTGATCTCCCACCGGAGAACTTAAAGGTTTTCAAATAACTCAGTTAATATTTGCATTCTTCAACCAACTGCAGGTGTAGTATTTTCAGGTAAAAACTGCCACTTTTCCTACAAGTATCAGATAAACGGATTCGCAAATAACTACATATTCGTTCAGGAAATAAGGAGAGAGTCTGTTTTAATTTCTTGTCTGTGTAAAATAATGAGACCAGGCAAAGTTGAAACTATCCTTATCATTGCACAAACAAAAGGAAAACGCAGCGTACTGTTGCGTCGGCGAGATCACGTGACTATTCTCACGCCCT